GATGACGTCGGAGTTAGGCATAGGGAGCCTGGGACAATCCGTCGGGGTCCTTACACCCGCAGATTTCCGGCCCGTATGTGAGTAGGTTTTTGCTCTGACTCTTTTTTTCTCTTTGCAGGCCTAGAAAATGGAAACCAAGTTAGCGACGTTAAATGTGAAGGGCTTAAGGGATCGGGGTAAGGCTGCCCGCCTGCTCCGGGACCTTCTGTCCCTGGATGTGGATGTTGCCGCGATCGAAGAGACACACTTTGTTTGCAGTGCCGATGCGTGTGTGCTGGAGAACGACTTTGTCGTCTATTCAGCATATGGGGACCGGTTTGCCAGAGGGTTTCTTTGCTTGTCAGACGGACTCATGATGCGAAGGTGGACCTTGTGCATACCGATGCCGAGGGCCGGTTGATCGTGGCCGATATTGCCGTGAAAAGTGGTTCGTTCCGAGTCGTTGCGGTTTATGCGCCCAATGACCAGGAGGAGCGGGTCTCGTTTTTTCGGCAGTTGGGGCCGTTCCTGGTTGATTCAACGCGCCTTGTTTTAATGGGGACTGGAATGCCATCCTGGACTCCAAGTTAGACAGGGGGTGGGGAGCTAGTGGGAGAAGGGGCGATCGTAGCCTGGTTGATCTGATCGACGATTATGGTCTCGTCGATAGATACCGGGTCGATCATCCCGGGGAAAATGTGGACGTGGGCTCTTAATTGGCCTTCTGACAAGGTGGTTAGCTACCTTGACAGGATGTTAGTTAGAAGAGCCGACATAGATCTATTAGATTGCCCTACGTTCCACTGGGTAGGCTACACGGACCACAAACTCGTTTGTGCCCGGGTGGCGTTAGACCATAGGCCTAGAATGGCTGGCTACTGGAAGTTCAATCTGTCTTTACTGGACAGGCAGGACTTCCGGGAGCAGCTAACTAGATTAGTGCAGCGGAGCTAGTGGGGGCGGTTATCGGGAATAGGTGGTGGGAAAACCTTAAAAAGTAGGATTAGGTCTTTCACCACTGATTTCAGCAAACGGCTTGCTCTAGATAGAGCTGAAAAGGTGAAGACACTTAAAGCTAGTTACACCCGGCGGTGGCTGGGGGGATCCCCTAGAGATAGCCTTAGCTAGGGCGGCCCTGGATCGTTTGAATAGCGAGCGGTACATGGGCCAGGTAATTAGACATAAGTTAAGCAAGATGTCTTCTGAAGCTGTGAACTTGGGCGCAGATCTGCGCAGGGAAGAGGTTCGTCGAGGTGGCGATCGTTACATTCGTGAAGTCGAGTCCCCGGAGGGGCATACTCTTCGGGCCACTGACGACATGTGCGAGGCGTTTTCGGCGCCATTTCGAGAGCCGGTTTACCAAGGAGCCTGGTCTCCACGAGGAGGAGTTTCGTAGCTATTTGGTTGACTTTCCTCGGCTTTCGCCGACTGAAGCGGCTAGCTGCGAGGGAGAGATCATGGAGGGCGAAGTCTATGCGGTATTGAAGAAGGTCGGCAGAGGCAAGTCGCCCGGTCTGGATGGTTTGCCCTATGAATTGTACTTGTGGGCTGTCGCACATCTTTGTTCCGATTTTGACAGCAGTGTTCAACAACTGGTTTCGGTCGGGGTCCATCCCCAATCGGATCACCAGGGTGTGATCACTCTGTTGAAAAAGGGCAAAGGTGGTGGGGGAAGCTAGATGATTACAGGCCCATAACTCTGCTAAACACAGAGTTAAAGATTATGGCCAAGATCCTGCAGGAGCGTTTGCAGTCAGTTGCCGAGTCTCTGTTGGGACCTGAGCAGACTTGTTCTGTGAGGGGCCGAACAATTCAGAGCAACCTGCATCTGATCCGCACGATCATAGAGGGCGTAAAAGACGACGAAGAAGCCGCGCTGATCAATTTGGATCAGTCCAAGGCATTTGATAGGGTTGACCATCGCTACCTTGCTACTGTCCTGCAGGCCGCTGGATTCGCACCCAACTTCTGCCGCTGGATTAGCCTCCTGTATCGCTCCCCCAGTGCTGTGGTACAGGTGAACGGAAGGTTGTCGGACGCGTTTGTGCTGTCTAGGTCGGTTCGTCAGGGTTGTCCGCTGTCGCCTCTCCTTTATGCTTTGGCGTTGGAGCCTCTCCTTCGCCGGCTGAAGGACAGAGACCGGCAGTCCGGCCCTACGTGGAATCGCCGTCCCTGGAGGGTCTCGAGCCAGGGTTTCCGCGTCGCGCCGATGACGTATCTGCTTTCGTGTCGTCCCGCAGCGACATTGAGGCGGTACAGAAGGCGCTTGATCGGTACGAGAAGGTGACAGGGGCCAAGATAAACCGCGACAAGTCGTCCGGCTTGCGGTTAGGTGCCTGGAAGGGGGTCGATCTTCCGGGCCGCTTCGGTTGGACGGACGGGCCTGTCCGCATTCTTGGAGTGGGTTTGGGCCCGACCTCCAGCTGGAGAAGAATTGGTCTGAAGTACGAGCAAAGGTCGATTTTGCCGGTAAGATTTGGAATCGACGGAGGTTGTCCGTGAAGGGCAGGGCGGAGGTGTGTGTTACATACATTTTCCCCCTGATTCTTTATCGATTGTCCGTACTTCCTCTCTGTAAGGACCACAGGAAGGCGCTCGAGCGATCGCTATCCTCCATTTTATGGAGGGAACGCGTGAACAGGGTCGACAGACGAGTCTGCACTAAACGTTCGTGTCATGGGGGGGCTGGGAATGCCGCACCTGTTGAGTCACATCCGTGCCTCTAGGTTGGCTTTCCTACGCCGCGCATTGACTAGAGGAGATCCGATTCTGGAGGGGATTGTTAGGGACGCCTTCCCTAGCCTTTACCATCAGTCCCCCATCTCGCGGGTTGAGCGCCGTTGTAAACCCCCGGATGAGTCGGATTTCCTCCGCGAGTGTCGGTTGGCCTTGAAGGCCATTCCCGGTCCAGTGACCTTTCTCGGCCTAGGAAGGTCTTCTATCGTGGTTTAGTGGAGGGTCGCGCGAAAGGATAAGCTACGTGATACGCTCGACTTGTCGGAGGAGGAGTTTCGCCCTATTGGTCTTGGGCGCCAGCGGCGATTACCTCAGTAACCCTGAGTTTTTGCTTACCTGGCGATTGGCTCGGAATCGGCTGCCTCTCAATGACAAGGCTTTCATATGGGGTTTGGCGGATTTGCCAGACTGTGAACGGTGTGGTCTTGGCTTAGAAGAAACGGCTTCGCACGCCTTCTTCTACCATTGCCCCCGGTCCGCCCCTTATGGGACCATGTCGGCGAGCTGACGGCTCGTCTCGCTCCCGAAAAGCTTGTGTCCATTGATCGCGCATACGCGTGTGACAATGTGTCGCCCCCGTATTCCGGGGTGAAACGAATGGTGTTTCTGATGCTGATGGCCACGGCTCGAATGGTGATTTGGACGACGCGAATGGAGGAAGTCTTGCGGGGCAACCGTCTTTCTTATCAGCATCTAATCCAATTCTTTGAGCATCAGCTCAAGATGAAGATTAGATCTGATAGAAAACGATTGCATTCGACAGTCTTCAGCGAAAGGTGGGTAAAAGAGGCGAGCTTGGTTCGTGTGACCGGGGCTAGCCTTGATTTTCTTTTTTTCTAGGTCAACCTATAGCACATCGGGGTGGCTTCCTGTGGAACCCTCCCCTTGGTTAGGTTAGACAAGCTTCAGTGTACCTAGTTAATGTGAGTAAGTGTTGTTCCTGGCCTGTATCCCGGCTGCTCTTTTGGTTATGGTCCAAGTCGAGATTCCCAACCTCCCCAGTTTGTTTTTGGCCCCCCTTTTTTATCTTGACTGGGTCAGCTTTACATTTTCCCATTCCGCATAATATTTTCTCCTTTTCCCACTCCCTTAGCGAGAGCGTCTCTTGATTTTGTCCCCTGGGCAGAATACAGCGGCCTCTCTGTTTTTTTGAGGGTTGGACGGTCCCTACTAACATGTGTTATGTTTAGTTTGTATTTTGTGTTTATTTTTATTTATTATTGGGTTCATCTCCCTCCCTTGCATTCTATCATTATTAGAATTTTATGTATATCATTTATGTATCATCAAATTTTTATGGATTGGGGCGCGTTTTGGTAGGTTCCCTTGGAGTGGATGTGGTATTATGGTGGTTGGAGGATTGAACGGTGATGGATGAGTTCTTGTGGTGAATGAGTAAATTGTAATGTATGAATGGGTCGTGAATCAGATTAGCTAGGTATAAGATAGTTAGTGTTGACCAGCCTTTCCCCTCCCCCCTTTTTTGGCCTTGTGCCACAATTGTAACTATTGTTGCAATAAATCTTCAGGGTTTGTATTGTTACAACCTGCTTTATTTTTGTCTGCCAGCTGGACGCTAGCTGGGACCTTTACACCGGTAAGTGCTGTTTATTATTGTTATTCTACAAATATAAATAAAAATTATAACTCATGAAAATCTAAAATATGAATGCTCTGAATAAATAAAAATTATTATGTCACTTTCTTACCACTATAAGTTTACCTCTTTGTGACTTTTCTATATAATACTTTCATGGTGATTGTTCGGATGAGTTCTTCACTATGGTACTTAGACTTTTTGAATTTAAGCACAGTACTAGACTGGCATCAAGATCTCAACAATTTACAGTTGAGCTGGTTAGATATAGCCAAAAGTTCAATGCTAACAGTTTTTCTCACTTGAACTCCCTTCTGGCTCCATGCTTTCCAGTCAAATTTAATCTGTAAAAATTTAAATGATATGTCAATTGCTATCTACTGTCCTCCTGATTATTCTTTCCTCTTCCCATTCATTAATGCTTCAGTTCCTAATTCTTCCACACCCTGTAACCCCTTCTGTCATAGTGGCTTTTCTGCCTTGCATGGAGTGATACCAGTTAAAAAAAAAAAAAAAAAAAAAAAAAAAAAGATTTTTTTCTTTCATCTATATAAATTAAAAATGGAACTCAAAGAGCTGAACTTCCAAGCAAGTCTGTTTACAAAATGCTAATAAATAAAAATGAATGAAAATAATATTGAAATATGAAATTTAATGTCATCACCGTTATTATTACTAAAATACTTACCACTCTCAATGTCATTTATATTGTTTGTTGGGATCTGATAGGATAACAAGAGATTATGTAGGCTGGTTCTTTCAGTATCATGAATGAAGTCATACAATGATCGATTGATCAAATCTTTCTGTAATTAAAAAAATATTTTTTTTTTCAAGTATATTAAAAACTATTAGGAACATTAATAAAATAAGACATTAATCTTCTGTATCAATTCTTCTTGTAGCAAAAAATTTGTAAATAAAGTGTGAGATTTGTTTTTTGAGAGAAAATTTTTAAATTATAAGATAAAATGCAATTAATTTAATAAGTGAAAATGAATGTATGTTAGAATTTGTTAAATGCCTGAAGATTTTAAGGTTTTGGGAAGAATTAAAAAATTCATTTATGATCAAAAGAATTTTTATTAAAAAAAAAATACAAATTGCTATAACAAATAAAATAAAAGTAACAGATTTCTTTTTTTTTCAATTAATTTTTCACAAAACAAAGGCTTTAACAAAATCTTTCACAACATAATTAAAATAAAAAAAAAATAGCATTAATCCTTTATACATAATCTGAACACTTAATGAAGATTTATGACAAATTGATACTATAACTTTGTTTTATATATACAATTTTATGTTAATAAGTAGCACATCATTCCTTTTGGCATGCTTAATTGTTTAAAAGTATAATTAAAGAAAAATAGTCCAATATCTTTTAAAGTAAGGATTACTGATCAACCTATTTATTTTCTGAATAATTTGTTTATATACACACACACACGTGTGTGTGTGTGTGTGTGTGTTCCTTATTTTGTTTAACATTAGAAATTCTTACGAGCAATATATAAAATAATTGTTTATTATCAGGACTTTTCTAATTATTATTAATAACTTAAATGCATTTTCAGTAACAAAAAACATCTTCAAAGTGAATTATTTTATAAAGATTATATAGCTTACCGGCAAATGACCCAGGAGTGAGGTTATGCTCTCAGAGGCATAAAGAATGTTTCCTTGTTGTGTGAAAACAAGTAAAAAACTGTCTAAGGCCTGCCAATTATTAAAGAATATTTATTTTAACATATAGACAACATATTGTGATTGCAATTTGTTGTATCTTTATATTTTTAAATTTTATTTTTTATTTTTACAAAACTTGCAGAAACAACATGACCAAACATCAAGTCAAAATTTGTGAACAACACGTTATTACTGGAAGAGTAATCTTAAAAGTTTTTAATAGCTAATATTTATTAAAGTCTGAGGAACAGGGCATAAAATTACTTTGACTGTCTACTGATTAGTAATAATAATTGTTAACTATGCTGACTCTTATGGTACTAGCAAGGATTGAACTTAACATCCTTGGCTAACAAATTACTGAAGATTTTAGACTCCCACTCCTCAGCTTAATATGGATGCGTTCTAAGCAGTGACAGTAACTTGTTTCCCTTCTCATCAAAGTGGATTTAACCTTTAGGCATTATTTAAGTTTACTGAAATTTCTCTTCAGGGAAGATTTTTCTTTTTGTCTGGTGAAGTGCTGTCACTCAGTTTAATGAGTAAGATTTTGTTTTATCAATAATGACCATTAATAAAACATAATAATTACTCTGAAATTTTTTTTTCTTTATAAAGTACTAACTTGCTTTAAAACTGCAATTTACACAAAAAAATAATAATCCGAGGTTTCCCAGTTATATAAGTAATTTACCTAGAACATAGTATGAAACAAACAAAATCAGATAAGTGCAGTTTGTATTCTAGTCTTGAAAACAGTTTTCAATAACACTGAGGACAATATATGCTTTAGCAATTTTCAATAAGTGATGTTATCAATAGGATTCATCAGCGGTTTTATAGACAAGATGATGATATCACTTTATCGAGAGAAATCATATTTATGTCATGAATCAACAAGTGGACTTCATTACAAAGCTATAACACACTAGCCATAAATGAACATCAATTTATCTAATGATGTATATATGATTTTCCCATTAAAAGAGACCTGTGTATAATTTCATTTTTTGAATGTAGTATATTCATGGCTTTACTAGTTTTCAAAACAAGATTTTAAAATTTGATTTCAAAGTTTGTTATAAAAATATCTAAATACAAAATGTCTTAATGTTCTTTAGTATTTTATGTCAAACCATTACTTGTCATTTATATAAGTAGCAGCTGATGATGTTCTGGAACTGTGTAAAGCAGATGTATTCTTTTACATTATTTATAACACATTCCTAAGTCTATCTTTATAATCAGAATGCTATCAGAACAAACAATACAAATGTAGAATAATTCTTTTTCTTTTAATCATTTAATTCCAAGCAAGGCGATAATGCCAGTAAGACGCAAGGAATTTGTGGAAGGGAAAAAGAATGAGAAGACTTTTCTTGGTTCCAGTCCTGGATAGGAATGACTGCAAAACACTTTCACTTCCCAAATTTATAGACAGAAACACACCATTGCATGCTGGGATTTCTTCCTAGCCAAGAAAACAGGCCAGTTCTCAATTTCATCTCACTCAGTCCTGGTCTGTTTTATCATGAAGTCAGGAAGTGCATCAACCCCAATTCTTAGTTTGTGAACTTTTGGCCATATTATTGTTGATTTGTCTTGCATATATCATTTGCTTGCTTTATATTATTTTTTGCCCTGTTCTTGTTATTGCTTACTACAAACTTTGTCAATTCTGTTTATTGGACAGTGCTGCAATTTATTTTACTTAGCCATGGTCACTCACTCTACAACTTTAGTAAGGAGAAAAGACAATAAAGAAAACAGGAATTCAGGCAGAAAGAAGATGACAATTGGCATTGCATTTAAATTTTTAGAGATTGTAGGTTAAAGGGAAGCGAGAAACTGGAAGAGATTTCCACAGGTGAGAAGTGTGAGAAAAGAAACAATTAGAATAAAAATTAGGGTTGTATGTAACAGTGAAACTGAGCCCTAGTTGCCAATCTAGTAGCATGCTTAAAGTCGTGCAGTTGAAGAACCAAGGAGAAAAGCTCATGAGAACAATTGCCATGAAAATATCTGTAAAAAAGACAGAGGGATGCCATGTCACAGCAGTGAGAATGTGGCTAAGTCAAGATGCCTGGTCAAGATTGATTACAAACCCTTCTTTGGATTTTGTCAAGATATATAACAGGAGTACCAGACCAGATAAGGCAGCAGTATTCAATGCACAGACGAATGGTAGCTTTATAAATGTGCAAGATGAATTCTGACAAAAAAAATTGTATGGCATGACACAGTGAACTGTCCAATTGATTCAATATAAAAAAAATCCTACTTCTTGTCAGTGGAAAATGTGAGTCCATGAAGGTGTAAAGAAGGTTAGCATCAGTCCTGCTGATAGCAGACAGAAAAGTTTCTCTATAGGGATTAAATGTAAGCAGTTTTGTTTTGGGGGTGTCAAAATTTACAAGCTATTTCTTGTCCCAGTTAACCACTGATTAGAGGTCCTTTTCAAAAGCAGTTGCCAGTTTTACTTTGGTCTGACTTTGCTACTTAGGAGTAAATAGTTGTATCATCAGCATAAATATCTAGCTGGAAACAGAAGATATCAGGAACGGTGTTGATGAAGATAAGAAACAATCCTGCCTGCATTAATGTAAAATGAATACTACTTTTATTCAACTATTTGCTAGGAGTGATTGGATTAAGCCAAATATTGGCCCAGAAACACCATAGCCACTGAACTTGTGGGGGGGGGGAGTCCAGCATGCCAATCCCCATTGAATACCTTTGAGATATCTAAAGCCACATCTTGAATTTGCCATTCTTATCTAAAGCCTGACAGATAAATTCAGTAATAGCCATTAACATGTTGACAGTCAACCTGGAAAAATGGAAACCACATTGTTTATCCAAAAGAAGATTGAAATGCTTAACCAATTTGACATTCAGTATTTTGTGAAGAGGTAAAAGACTAATGGGGGTGATAATTTAAGGGATAAGAAAATTCACCAGATTTCTTAAAGACAGGAAATACAGAGTAGGATTTCAAATAAGCTGGAAAGCAAGAAGCAGTGAGACATTTATTATAGAGTTTGGAGAGAACAGGAACCAGTATGGGGCACATTTCTTTAGGACAATTACAGCGATACTGTCAAATCTGCAAGCCTTGTGGGAGATCTAGTTTAGATATGGTAGCAGAAATCATGGCCAGATTCATGTGTAAATCACTCAGTAAAGACACTGTTCTAGTGGGGAAATAAGGCAAAGCTATGCCAGATGATGTAAGAGTTGAATTGGAAGAGAATTTATGAGCAAAGCATTCTGCTTTATCTGCAGTAAATAACAATACTTCAAACTGATTAAAGAAAGGAGACACTAAAGATTTACTCTTGTTCTATACACCCTTACAAAGCTGCCAATAATCTCTAGAACCAAATTTGTGAGAGACTATATGGTATCTCATTTTACTATCTTTTACTTCTTTGAGGACATGCTTCTACTCATTATAAGCAGTTACAAAAAGGCATCTGTTATGATCACCAGTAATTTCTAGAACCAAACTTGTAAGATGTTATATGGTGACTTGGACCTGTCATGTTGGTATAGCCAGAAGAAATGATTCTTATGGGCAATAGCAGGTGAACAAACAGGTGAGCAAAAATAGAAGATAGTGGTTTCATTTGATATTCATGTGCTGGCACAAAAGCTTTGATGTCAGCTTTCACCCAGGAAGAGAGACCTCAGTAGCACATTTCTTAACTAGATGATTAAAAATATCATTCCAAGGGGTATTGCAAAGAAAATTACTATCAGGGTGTTGGTAACAGAAAATGTTCTGTTAATGGGGGATTCTTGCCTAACAGGTGATCAGAAAGAAATATCTACAGACACTACTGTGTGGTCAGAGTTACCAAGAGGACAGAGCTGCAGAGCATGACATGAGTTTGAGGAGGAGGTAAGGAAAAAAATCAAGTAGAGAACCATGTCTGTCAGAATTACTAGGGAAGTAACACATAAGGTTTGACTGAGTTTCATAGTGAAGTCAGAAGCATATATAAGAACAATCTGGAGACTCAATGCGATGCATGTGGACACTAGAGTTCTTTCAAGATAGTCAGTGACAGAGAATTCAGTGAAGAAATTGAAAAGTTTAAATTAGTTTCACAGAGAGCTAAGATGTCTGGAGAGCACAGCAAGAGAAATGTTTCTGCATTGCAGAAATTGGTATGAATATCACAAATGTTGGAGAACAAAAAGGTTGAGGGGCTTAGGTGTTTTTTTTTGCAAATTAGTTTAGTTTTATTTTGACAAAAGTATTTGATAGGGTACAATACAAAGAGCTACTTGAAATACTAGAAAAGCTTGATTTAAATGGGAATGATATATAATTTGAGTAATCTGTAACTTTCACTGGGAACAAAAACCCTTTATGTAGATAGAGAATAAAATTAGTGAATACAAAAATTAGAAAGAGGGTGTAACTCTCCTCATCAGATTTATTTAACCAATTCTGTGAGAAAATTCTAACAGAACTAGAACAACAACCATTATTTATCATTGGTGAACAATTTTTTGGGGGCATGGTGGAGTAATGGATAGTGGCTCTGATTAAGGAATCAGGAGCCGAGTTTGAATTCCAGTCAAATCCATTACATTCATTTATAATATCCTTGGGAAAGGTATGAATCCTCGTCTTCCTCTAGCTATGTAAATAACAGGACGGCGCAGATTCTATAACCTTGGATGGCAACTGGTCTACCATAGAAAGAAATGGCAACCTATTGCGGGAAAAAGCTTGCCTTGTCAGTCATGTATCGAAAGATACATGATCACCTAAGCACGTATCATGCATGGCACATAACTGACTGAACATAATTTTAACAACATAAGATATGTATTTGACCCTGTGTGGATGGTAGATTAAGAAGTTTGGTTGGTTGATTCATTTAATGGCATATCAACTCCTTATGTGTCATTTAATCCCAAAATTTAATTTCTTGGGAGCTTTGAAGTAATAAAAATATGATATAGGTTATTCTGTTTTCACAATTGAATAGATGTTTGTACGGTTATAATTACTAGAGATGGTGATGTGTGTTTTACGTAGTTTTGTTGAAGTTATATTTTGGAATACAGTTTGATTTCTTTAATTGTTGGTCATTTTAACATAAATATGTATTGTTGGTAATTTTTTTTATATAAAAATGTATTGTTGGTAATTTTTTTTATATAAAAATGTATTGCTGGTATTTTTACTATAAAAATGTATTTTTATACTTTTATAGTATCTTGTTTTTATTTGGAGTTCACTATTTGTCTATAGCTGGAACCCTAACTGGTGCCACTACCCTGGGTCAGAGTGAACCTAATAACAACAGCAATTAAGAGAGAATTCCACACTACTCAAAACCTACAATCTCCTGATCAGAGGCCTTGCTGCTGGATGTAGTTAGAAGGCAAACTGAAGGCACTCCTATAAAAAGATAGTAAAGGAAAGCAGAAAGAAAAGACTAACTGTGCATTATAATAAGATAGAATGCATGGTCCAAAATGTGAGGTACATATTAGTGATGTGAAAATCAAGAAAGTGCAGAAATTTAACTATATGGATAGTGCAGTAACAAATGATTGAAAACATGACACAGAAATCCAAAAGTGCATAGGAGTAGTAAAAGATGTCTTTCAGAAACAAAGCAAAGTAATAAGACATAGAAAAATATTGTTAGAAACAAAGAAAAGAGTAATGAATTAATATATAATAGAACATGTCATATATGGCAGTAGATATTGGACAATCTCCTCACAGATGAAGAGACTTAAGCAACAGAAATGTGGTTTGGCAGAAGGAGGCTGAAAATAACATGGGCCAAACATGAGAGTAATATAGAATTTTTAATTAAAATAAATTTACAAGAAAAATGATACTTACAATGGGAATAAGATTAAAAAATTTAGGCCACATGAATAAAGAGAACCTAGTGAATTTAACACTCACAAGTTATATTGAGGGCAAGAGAAGCAATGTGAAACAGTAAGTAACCTACTTGACACATTTGAGTGGATGGAACAGGAACAAAGGAGGATAGTACAGGGTCAAAGGTTAAAGAGCAACACAAAAAAAAACAGGAAGTTGTAGAGAGATACGATTCATTTAAATCATGAAAGGGTATAACACATAAAAGAATTACATTAGTTTTTTTTATCCAAGATGCAGAGTAGCTTTATTTTTTTTCTTTCAGGTGAATATTCTAAAAAAAATATGTATATTAAAAATTACATTTACCATTATCTGTACACAAAGATAGTAAGAGAAATTAATGTGGATGTAAGAATATAATAAGGTAATGTAAGAAAAATGAATAAAAAACCCCAAAGAACAAGCTAAATATCTTTAAATAATTAAAAATGTTATAGAACAATTATAGGTAATTTAATGTAATAACCAGGTTAACTTACCTCTAACATCAGTTGAGTAAATTCATCATTTGATAGGAAGGACGGTTTCCAATCTTCTTTGATTTCATGAGCGTGTGACTGCATTGCAAGCTCTGTAAATAAAAAAAAAAAGATATTGCTAAATCAGGAAAGAAGATATTGCCAAAAAAAAAAAAAAAAAAAAAAAAGAAAAGATATTGCCAAAAAAAAAAAAAAAAAAGAGAGGTAAAAAAGATATTGCCAAAAAAAAAAAAAAAAAAAAGGTAAAAAAATATTGCCAAAAAAAAAAAAAAAAAAAAAAAGATATTGCCTAAAAAAGAGAAAGGTAAAAAAAAATATTGCCGTAAAAAGAGAAAGGTAAAAAAGATATTGCCGTAAAAAAAAAAAAAAAAAAGATAAAAAAAAGAAAAAAAAAGATATTGCCGTAAAAAAAGAAAGGTAAAAAGATAAAAAAAAGAGAAAGGTAAAAAGATATTGCCGTAAAAAGAAAAAGGTAAAAAAAACTTATTGCCGTAAAAAGAGAAAGGTAAAAAGATATTGCCGTAAAAAGAAAGGTAAAAAAGATATTGCCGTAAAAAGAAAAGGTAAAAAAGATATTGCCGTAAAAAGAGAAAGGTAAAAAGATATTGCCAATAAAAGAAAAAGGTAAAAAAGATATTGCCGTAAAAAGAGAAAGGTAAAAAAGATATTGCCGTAAAAAAATAAAGGTAAAAAAAGATATTGCCGTAAAAGAGAAAGGTAAAAAGATATTGCCGTAAAAAAGAAAAGGTAAAAAGATATTGCCGTAAAAAGAGAAAGGTAAAAAAAGATATTGCCGTAAAAAGAAAAGGTAAAAAAGATATTGCCGTAAAAAGAGAAAGGTAAAAAAGATATTGCCGTAAAAAGAGAAAGGTAAAAAAGATATTGCCGTAAAAAGAGAAAGGTAAAAAGATATTGCCGTAAAAGAAAAATAAAAAAGATATTGCCGTAAAAAGAGAAAGGTAAAAAAGATATTGCCGTAAAAAGAAAAGGTAAAAAGATATTGCCGTAAAAAGAAAGGTAAAAAGATATTGCCGTAAAAAGAGAAAGGTAAAAAGATATTGCCGTAAAAAGAAAAAGGTAAAAAAGATATTGCCGTAAAAAGAGAAAGGTAAAAAGATATTGCCGTAAAAAAGAGAAAGGTAAAAAGATATTGCCAAAAAAGAAAAGGTAAAAAAGATATTGCCGTAAAAAGAGAAGGTAAAAAGATATTGCCGTAAAAAGAGAAAAAAAAAAGATATTGCCGTAAAAAGAAAAAAAAAGATATTGCCGTAAAAAAGAGAAAGGTAAAAAGATATTGCCGTAAAAAGAGAAAGGTAAAAAGATATTGCCGTAAAAAGAAAAGGTAAAAGATATTGCCGTAAAAAGAAAAGGTAAAAAGATATTGCCGTAAAAAGAGAAAGGTAAAAAAGATATTGCCGTAAAAAGAGAAAGGTAAAAAGATATTGCCGTAAAAAAGAGAAAGGTAAAAAAGATATTGCCGTAAAAAGAGAAAGGTAAAAAGATATTGCCGTAAAAAGAGAAAGGTAAAAAGATATTGCCGTAAAAAAGAAAAGGTAAAAAGATATTGCCGTAAAAAGAGAAAGGTAAAAAGATATTGCCGTAAAAGAGAAAGGTAAAAAGATATTGCCGTAAAAAGAGAAAGGTAAAAAAGATATTGCCGTAAAAAGAGAAAGGTAAAAAAGATATTGCCGTAAAAAGAGAAAGGTAAAAAAGATATTGCCGTAAAAAGAGAAAGGTAAAAAAGATATTGCCGTAAAAAGAGAAAGGTAAAAAAGATATTGCCGTAAAAAGAGAAAGGTAAAAAAGATATTGCCGTAAAAAAAGAAAGGTAAAAAAGATATTGCCGAAAAGAAAGGAAGGAAAAGATGTCGCCGAAAAGAAAGGAAGGAAAAGATGTCGCCGAAAAGAAAGGAAGGAAAAGATGTCGCCGAAAAGAAAGGAAGGAAAAGATGTTGCCGAAAGGAAAAAGGAAAAGATGTCGCCGAAAGGAAAAAGGAAAAGATGTTGCCGAAAGGAAAAAGGAAAAGATGTTGCCGAAAGGAAAAAGGAAAAGATGTTGCCGAAAGGAAAAAGGAAAAGATGTTGCCGAAAGGAAAAAAGGAAAAGATGTTGCCGAAAGGAAAAAGGAAAAAGATGTTGCCGAAAAGGAAAAGGAAAAGATGTTGCCGAAAGGAAAAAGGAAAAGATGTTGCCGAAAGGAAAAAGGAAAAGATGTTGCCGAAAGGAAAAAGGAAAAGATGTTGCCGAAAGGAAAAAGGAAAAGATATTACCCACAAAAAGTTAATAATTGCTAAAGAATAGTTGATAGCTAAATGAAAGTTGATATTGCCAAAAGAGAGAAAAGGACAAATATATTGCCAAAAGAAGGAAAACTTGATATTGCCAAAAGGAAAGGTTGTTTTGTATCCTTAAAGAGGTTACAGACAGACAAAAATTGTTCTCGAGTGAAGGGAACAGCAACATGGGTGTAGATGGAAGACAGAGAGGTTTATTGTAAAAGAGAATATATTACTGCAAGACAGGGAATTGGCTAGCACTTCCAGAAGCCAGTCTCAAGTATGACCTGTGCACACTACATATATTTACTGATATAGTCTGACCACAATAGGTATTAGGGAGAGTGGAACATTCTATTATACAACAAGTTGATATTGGCCAAAAGAAAGATAAGTTGATATTGGCCAAAAGAAAGATAAGTTGATATTGGCCAAAAGAAAGATAAGTTGATATTGGCCAAAAGAAAGATAAGTTGATATTGGCCAAAAGAAAGATAAGTTGATATTGGCCAAAAGAAAGATAAGTTGATATTGGCCAAAAGAAAGATAAGTTGATATTGGCCAAAAGAAAGATAAGTTGATATTGGCCAAAAGAAAGATAAGTTGATATTGGCCAAAAGAAAGATAAGTTGATATTGGCCAAAAGAAAGATAAGTTGATATTGGCCAAAAGAAAGATAAGTTGATATTGGCCAAAAGAAAGATAAGTTGATATTGGCCAAAAGAAAGATAAGTTGATATTGGCCAAAAAAGAAAGATAAGTTGATATTGGCCAAAAGAAAGATAAGTTGATATTGGCCAAAAGAAAGATAAGTTGATATTGGCCAAAAGAAAGATAAGTTGATATTGGCCAAAAGAAAGATAAGTTGATATTGGCCAAAAGAAAGATAAGTTGATATTGGCCAAAAGAAAGATAAGTTGATATTGGCCAAAAGAAAGATAAGTTGATATTGGCCAAAAGAAAGATAAGTTGATATTGGCCAAAAGAAAGATAAGTTGATATTGGCCAAAAGAAAGATAAGTTGATATTGGCCAAAAGAAAGATAAGTTGATATTGGCCAAAAGAAAGATAAGTTGATATTGGCCAAAAGAAAGATAAGTTGATATTGGCCAAAAGAAAGATAAGTTGATATTGGCCAAAAGAAAGATAAGTTGATATTGGCCAAAAGAAAGATAAGTTGATATTGGCCAAAAGAAAGATAAGTTGATATTGGCCAAAAGAAAGATAAGTTGATATTGGCCAAAAGAAAGATAAGTTGATATTGGCCAAAAGAAAGATAAGTTGATATTGGCCAAAAGAAAGATAAGTTGATATTGGCCAAAAGAAAGATAAGTTGATATTGGCCAAAAGAAAGATAAGTTGATATTGGCCAAAAATAAGTGGTCAAAAGAAAGATAAGTTGATATTGGCCAAAAGAAAGATAAGTTGATATTGGCCAAAAGAAAGATAAGTTGATATTGGCCAAAAGAAAGATAAGTTGATATTGGCCAAAAGAAAGATAAGTTGAAGTTGATATTGGCCAAAAGAAAGATAAGTTGATATTGGCCAAAAGAAAGATAAGTTGATATTGGCCAAAAGAAAGATAAGTTGATATTGGCCAAAAGAAAGATAAGTTGATATTGGCCAAAAAAAGAAAGATAAGTTGATATTGGCCAAAAGAAAGATAAGTTGATATTGGCCAAAAAAAGAAAGATAAGATTGATATTGGCCAAAAGAAAGATAAGTTGATATTGGCCAAAAAGAAAGATAAGTTGATATTGGCCAAAAGAAAGATAAGTTGATATTGGCCAAAAGAAAGATAAGTTGATATTGGCCAAAAGAAAGATAAGTTGATATTGGCCAAAAAAAAAGATATAAAAGTTGATATTGGCCAAAAGAAAGATAAGTTGATATTGGCCAAAAGAAAGATAAGTTGATATTGGCCAAAAGAAAGATAAGTTGATATTGGCCAAAAGAAAGATAAGTTGATATTGGCCAAAAAAGAAAGATAAGTTGATATTGGCCAAAAGAAAGATAAGTTGATATTGGCCAAAAAAGAAAGTTGATATTGGCCAAAAGAAAGATAAGTTGATATTGGCCAAAAGAAAGATAAGTTGATATTGGCCAAAAGAAAGATAAGTTGATATTGGCCAAAAGAAAGATAAGTTGATATTGGCCAAAAGAAAGATAAGTTGATATTGGCCAAAAGAAAGATAAGTTGATATTGGCCAAAAGAAAGATAAGTTGATATTGGCCAAAAGAAAGATAAGTTGATATTGGCCAAAAGAAAGATAAGTTGATATTGGCCAAAAGAAAGATAAGTTGATATTGGCCAAAAAAGAAAGATAAGTTGATTTGAAAAGAAAGATATTGGCCAAAAGAAAGATAAGTTGATATTGGCCAAAAGAAAGATAAGTTGATATTGGCCAAAAGAAAGATAAGTTGATATTGGCCAAAAGAAAGATAAGTTGATATTGGCCAAAAAAGAAAGATAAGTTGATATTGGCCAAAAGAAAGATAAGTTGATAAGTTGATATTGGCCAAAAGAAAGATAAGTTGATATTGGCCAAAAGAAAGATAAGTTGATATTGGCCAAAAGAAATATTGGCCAAAAGATAAGTTGATATTGGCCAAAAGAAAGATAAGTTGATATTGGCCAAAAGAAAGATAAGTTGATATTGGCCAAAAGAAAGATAAGTTGATATTGGCCAAAAGAAAGATAAGTTGATATTGGCCAAAAGAAAGATAAGTTGATATTGGCCAAAAGAAAGATAAGTTGAAAACATGGTTAGACATCAGATGATTGCTATCTTACCTAGAAAGAGAATTAGGTCCTCTTAAGGTCATAATCCAATTGATGGTCGTGGTACAAGAGAATAAAGAGAAGTAGTGCCCCATATTGGACTCAATTGGGAACTAAACAAATGTGTGCAGAAATTGAGGGAGTGGTAACAAAGGGTCCAATCAACAGGTAGCATTGGCATATATAGATGATATACGTTATATGTTGGGGAAAGTATTGCATTTGTGGTGTGTGTAAATTAGCATTTAACTGACTAGGAATTAACATGTGCTGGAGCAGTTAGAGAATAGTGGTTGGATTGTATGTCTGGTGGGAGCACAACATGCTTTATTGGAAGTGATGTTTCAGAACTAATGTAGGCTTCATTTTAGCATTTGGCACAGAGTTGCAACAGCATTCATCAAATACAGAGTGGTAACAGTTACAGTTAGGTGAGATGATGAAGTGAATGATACACTCCTTAAAAACATTTTCACTGGAGTCTTGCTGGAATAAGATACATGTTAGTTATGTCCAGTAAAGAATAAGCAAAACATCAACTAGGCAGGGCTTGAGGCCATACTAAAGAGAGTTAACCTAGTGCTTTAGTAGGGTACAATTAAAATGCACCTGTTTATGGACTCTGTAGGTATTCTTTGGTATGTATCCAACATGTTCACAGGAAAAGGCTGAGTATACACAACAGCTGTGAGCAAAAAGCTCATCTGAAGAGGGCCCAGCACTCTTGAGTATAAATTGATTATGCACATGAAGTTGATTAACAAGGCTGACAGGTTGATGTGAGTGTCAAAGAAAAATTTTTATAAAAGAAGCTCAATGCAGAAAGAAAAAGTCAAAACTAGTTGTGTTTCTTTAATAAATGCACTCAGTCCTGACATAATAAAGATTGTACACTGCCAAAGTGGGCATCCTGCATGTATTTCATATAGAGAATTCATACTATAATTTTGAAAGCAAATGTCAATGTAATATTCAGGGAATGCAAGGAGTGCCAGTCAATTGACCCAGCCCCAACACATTGGCCAGAAGGCAAACTGAATATGATCAATTCATGGAATTCTATTGGTTAACAATTTGACAATCTCAATGTCAGTAGAATCCAAAAAGTGTCTCATCCATCAATTAGAGGCCCTTTTTTATGACCAAGGTCCACCAGTAAATTTCTGAGATGAGGTATCATGTACACTATTTACATTATTCGGACTATTGTCCTCATTTTTGTTGCCATATTAGGTTTATAATACCCAGAAATTCACACACGGATGTCCTCAAGAACACATGGCACAGTGGATAAAGGCGTTAGTTAGATCCAGTGACAGGACCCAAAGAGTGTGAGTTCAATACCTGGTTAAGGTGGTGGAGAACTTGGAGTGGGGAATTAAGCAGGAGATAACTGATAATTGACATCCATTAGACATGGCATGTGGAACTAGAACAGTAAGCAAAATAAAGGGTTCAGTTTGACATTCCAACCACCTGAACAGTGTACAATGGCTGAAACGTTGTAATAAATATGGCAACAAAGAAGATGAGGACAATATTCCGAATAATGTAAATAGTGTACATTGAGATAATGTTTTGTAGTAAACTCAGAGATTTTGGAGGAGTGGGGAATTAAACTTCACTTCTGATGTTTATATATCCCCGTGGATAATAGTACGGTTAAGAGATGCCATCAGAGTGTTAAAAGAATCATTGCCAGTTAGCAGTACTCAATAATAGAAGTGGTCTGCTGGTATAATATTACACCAAAAGGCAACACCTCACCCATTACTATACCCACTAACAAGTCAGAGTCAAAACATCAGAAACACTACAGACTGTACAAAGTGGAAGACTGTGTTTGTGAAAAACCCATGCAAACAATGTATTTTGAGATACCAAATAGGGAGTTTCATTGGTACCAGCAGACCACACACAATTTTGATCAGTGATGTAGTCTGCTGATACCAATAAAAAAGAAATGTGTAACAGTTAATGAAAAATTAAAACATTAATGAAAACTATATATATATATATATATATATACATACATACATACATACACACAAACAAGTAGAATAATGATAGCACAGATTGTTCACTTAATCTGTTGGTTGGATTGAACTTTATCAATCCACTTATGGCCAAATATAAGAGTATATTGCTTTGAAAATAAAGGAGGTAATTACAACAGATAATTTGAATACTCAAAGAATACATTCTTATATGATTTCATATAGAGACATAGTAGCCAAGCAAAAACAGAAGTTTTATTATGCAAAATTAAATAATCAAGATAATTTGAACAAAAATTTTCTTACCTTGATAATTTTTAAGAAAGGCTATTGTAGATTTCAGGACAGTAGATTTATCCATTTTTCTATTGTTTGTTGATACCATTGAGCAAAGTTCATTGATCAACATATTAAACTGGTCTCTTCTCTTCTTTTCACTTAAGTTACGTGTTTTTCTGCAAAATAAAACAAGCCTAAAATTTAGTTTTTAATTCTTTAGTGATTTTGTTGATAGTTTATTAATTTAGGCTAGGCATATTCAAAATTTATTTTAAAGTTCCAAAACATGTGAAAATTGTACTTTATAGAACTATTATGACATATATCAACTTACCAAGCTTGTTAAAACATGAAATTTAGATAATTATTTAATTGTTTTTCAAGCAAAATAAGAGTAATCTATCTATATATAAAACTGTGTGACTTCTGTTAGTCTGTCTAGTCATCACACCCTTTAAAAAAAGCCATACAATGACTAATTGAAACCAAATTTTGGTGAGAAGTGAAATCAAGTAAGGGGGAACAAAGTACAGTTGGTTTTACTAGGGCCCATAGTTTAGTACAATAAATTTTCATTAATTATTAGGGAAAAATTAAGTTTTATTATTCAACATACAAAATACACCATTTTAAAAAAAAATTAACAATTGAAATAAATACTTATTAAAATAAAAATGCAATATTGTTTTATGCATATTTTTCTTTAAGTTTTTATATATATAAGAATCCAGTTTCCAGTTGGCCCTGCATTTGCAAGAACTATAAACAAATCACAAGGCCAAATGATTTAAAAAGTTGGAATTTGACCCAAAAAGAAATCTTTATACATGGCCAGTTGTATGTTGCTTGTTCAAGAGTAAGAAATCCTAAGAATATATCCTTCACTGTTAAAAAGGAAAAAAAAAATTTTCTTAAAATTAAAGAAATTATTAAACCATGAAGTAGGGTTTTTATCAAAGTATTTTTGAAACAAATCAGCCTATTCAAATTTTATCAATTGGTTTGCGAAGTTGAATGAAATATAAAATTTGTAAATCATGACAAAAAATGTTAGCAATAACTTCAATACTGAATATTGTGAGGATTTCAATACACATCAGTAGCATAAATATATAGCTACAAGTAATTACTAAAGCTGTTCAATGAATCAGTTCAAAGAGTATATCAGTTAATGTGTGAAAAGGTGAAATAAAGACTTTTGCAGGAATTTTTCATTATCTATGAAAAGTGTGTGTATTGATATCAATCAGTCTAGTAAATAAGAACCAGATTGCCATTTCCAAAAAAGGTTTGTACAAATGTATTTATATTCAAGCAACAATAACTTCAAAATGAGAATAATTCAAATCAACTGCTGTTTTGCTAATGTCTAAGAGACAAAAATATATTATGACCCACTTAATAAATAAAATGTTTTTTAACTACTTATTTACGCCAGTTCAATATAACATACAAATTTCACTTAAATTTTTTCAATATACTTTTTACAATAGTTTGCATTTCATGTTTAATCTAAGATAGAATAGAGCTAATCACATCAATAGGGCAATTTATTCTTTGTTGGATTAAAATGTAATTGCTTGTCTGGGTTTAATTTATACACAACTTTTTTAATAATTTAACAAAGAATGAAAATATGAAGTCCCTCGCAAACATACAAATAGGCATTTTCACTCTTTTAATCTAATGAAAAGAGTCTATATTGATTAGAAAAGATGATAAAACCCCTGAAAGCTCCTCTAGAATACAGAACACTAGATACAGATATAAGAAATCAAAGAGAGAAAAAAGAAGCACCTTGAAGCAAGCACTAACCAAGCAGTAATAAAAAGAACAAAACCATATATCTAGGGATGGACATTGGAAATAAAACAATCTACACTTATAGGCTAAATAAAATGCTCAGAAAATCCCTGAAGGTTACCTGGATCAATAGACATGCAAGTCAGAGGTCTAAACAGTTGAAACATTGTGATAATAATAACAAAGATGAAAACATTATTCCAAGTGTAAATAATGATAAGCCCTCATCCCAAAAGTTTAGACAGAAATTACTGAATTGGTCTGTACCTGATGTAATATACCAATAAAGACATTTGGAAAAGCTACATCAAAAATATGCACAGTATGGGAGCCATTAAAGTAGCAATGCACACTCAAAATTTTATTTTTTTAAAATTTGATGTAATGTATATAAAAATTAGGTTTTTAAATTGAAAAAGGAAAAATGATTTTTTAATTTTTTTTTTTTAATTCAATGTTTCACTTGGACCAAATTAGGGATTGCTGTACTAGATAAAACTATAGAAAACCAAGATCAGAATTTCAGACACAAAAAAAAAATACATAGATAAAATTAATTCTCTATTACTGAATATAAATTTGTGAAAATTCATATAGTAGTAGTTTTCAATATAGTGAATAATATAGTACCATTCACAACCACATAGATGTTACAGTCATTCAATAGATGATGGCTCCAAAATTCCTATTTTGTTACTGCAGGATCAGAAAGAGAGCATTTTTTGGTCAGTCATTGTCAGCAATTAACAATTAGATGTATTTTAATGCATAGGAGCCACTAACATCAATAGATAATATTACTGAATGTTAATGGAAGCCATTACTAATTTTTAAAAAATCTTGAGATTTGAAAAAGCAAGTTATATATCAAATAAAGGCTCTGAGTGAGTAGGCCAACATAAGG